GGAATATAAAATTTTGGTCATTGGTGATTTGATTAAAAATTTAAATTTTTCTTGATTTGAGTAAAAATTTAATTCTCATTTTATTTGGTATAACTGTATAAGTTTGAGCAAACTAGTTGGTACACACATGTGTTACATGTGAATTATTATAATTTTTATTTACTACTATTTTATAATAAAATACTACTTAATTATAGTTAAATGACCATACTGAAATTTTTAAGAATGTAATGCTCATGTGTGTTGCATATGAACTTTTTAAAATTAGTATAATAATTTGTAGTTTTTTTTAGACATCTTACAAATATCAAAATATATATTTTATTATAAATCTGTAAACTGATGACTCAGTTGCATAGTAGAGGTCAAACCAAATACAAACAATTAATTATCACAATACAAACAATCAAGGATAACAATTAAAATGTATGACAAATAAATAATAATGTATAGATCTAAAATTCTTAGAAATTTTGGATGGCCCCAGACCAATAGTTCAACTTGCAAATTGGCTGATGAAGAATGAAATCTCCTTCTTCAAATTAAAAAGTAGCACACATACGTAACTTTTATTTAAGTCCCCTTCTTCAAATTATGTACCCCAATCATACTGGTGAAAGTCAATCAAAGCTAATTAAAATGTCCAACAAACATCTCCACTAAAATGTTTGGTTATAATTCATATTCATGATAATTATAACACCATTTTTTTATTGTTATTACTNCATTTTTTTTCCAAAGGCATAAAGATTAAAGGGTAGATGTGTCTTTTAAAATAACTAAGGGTCAAATGACCAGCTTCTGTTAATTGTTAACGGTTAGATTAATAGAAATGAAGACATTGATCTAATATTCAAATTTGGAAGGGGTACATTGTTTAAATTGAAACCAGAGGAAGTTGATTGCAGCATGAACCAATCTTTGAGGGGGCATTTTGTAATCAACCCAATAGAAAAATAGTTTTTTAAAGTGCAAACCAAACATGACTTTTATTTGATACAAAGAATTCTAATGGACAAATTTAAATTTAAAGGAGAATAAACTTAAATTTAAAGGAAAGTAACCTAAAATTTAAAGGAGAGTAAAATATGACCATTGAATTTTTAAAGGAATATAAAATTTTGGTCATTGGTGATTTGATTAAAAATTTAAATTTTTCTTGATTTGAGTAAAAATTTAATTCTCATTTTATTTGGTATAACTGTATAAGTTTGAGCAAACTAGTTGGTACACACATGTGTTACATGTGAATTATTATAATTTTTATTTACTACTATTTTATAATAAAATACTACTTAATTATAGTTAAATGACCATACTGAAATTTTTAAGAATGTAATGCTCATGTGTGTTGCATATGAACTTTTTAAAATTAGTATAATAATTTGTAGTTTTTTTTAGACATCTTACAAATATCAAAATATATATTTTATTATAAATCTGTAAACTGATGACTCAGTTGCATAGTAGAGGTCAAACCAAATACAAACAATTAATTATCACAATACAAACAATCAAGGATAACAATTAAAATGTATGACAAATAAATAATAATGTATAGATCTAAAATTCTTAGAAATTTTGGATGGCCCCAGACCAATAGTTCAACTTGCAAATTGGCTGATGAAGAATGAAATCTCCTTCTTCAAATTAAAAAGTAGCACACATACGTAACTTTTATTTAAGTCCCCTTCTTCAAATTATGTACCCCAATCATACTGGTGAAAGTCAATCAAAGCTAATTAAAATGTCCAACAAACATCTCCACTAAAATGTTTGGTTATAATTCATATTCATGATAATTATAACACCATTTTTTTATTGTTATTACTCTTAACAAGCAATTTATTAGACTTTTTAACATTAACCAAATTCTAATTATTCTTCTGGATGCTAATACACATGGCGTGTTTGTGTCTAATTTCTCCGTGAAAATTTAATTTTGTTGGTATCATAAAATCTGGGATGAATTCGCAAAGAAAATAAAATAAAAATTATAATAGATATCAGTGGAAGAACAATACCACAAAAAATAGAGATGCACCAAACGTTGAGATGCAGAGAGAACTGAATGTATTGAGTAACACATGCTGAGAGCAACAGAGAAAGACAGGGAGAAAGAGGGGAACATCGAGGATTTCTGAAAGAGGTAAAGAAGAGAGAAAAAAAAATGCTTAATTGGAGTAGGGGAAGATTAAAATGAAATGATAGGATAGAGAGAAGATTAGGAGGCATAAGTTTTTTTTTTTTTTTTGGGAACAGGAGGAGGCTTAGGTTTATTTTGGCTTTAATATTAAGGGATAAGAATGAGATACTTGTGATTTTGGAGGATAAAAGTGAAAAAAATATATTTTTCAAATATGAAAAATAGTGTAGATGATTGGAGTTTATTTTTAACCTATTTTTACTTACATTTAAATTTGAGTAAGGATTATAAATGCTTTTAGAATACTTACTTCCTCTACCACGTGCATTCATTTGCCCTTTTAATTTCATGAAATTATTTTTATATCTCTAGTTTTCTTATATTTAGGAAAAAGGAAAATTGCCCATTAAAGGGGATTTACAATAATTTTCCAAGTCAATTTTTATGGATTCAAATCCTCTCTAGTTATATATATATATATATCACTTACTATCTATATAATAAAGTAGTTTATAATTTAAATCTCAAAAAGATAAATAAAATGACTTTTACTATTCATGGTTGAGATAGTTTTAAATTTTACTTTACAGTTAATCTAACGACTAATATTAACACCCTAAATTTAATAGAAAAAATAGGCTCCTACGAATGTGTTTGAAGTGACTTTTTAAAAATTATTTTTCATAAATACTTTAAAAAAAATAGTGTTTGAAACCGTTCTACCGCTACCTCTACCACCACCGTCGCAGCTGTCACTGCCCCCCCAACCGCCGCCACCGTTGCCACCACCACCGTTGTCATTACCACCATCACTACTGCCGTCGCTACCACCATCATCATCGCCGTCGCCCCCACCACCATCGTCGTCATCCCAACCACCATCGCCACCACCCTCATCGCCATCGTCACCGCCACCACCACCACCACCATTACTGTTGCTGCCGCTGNATCACTACTGCTGTCGCTACCACCATCATTATCGCCGTCACCCCCACCACCATCGCCGCCATCCCAACCACCATCGCCACTGCCCCCATCGCCGTCGTCACCGCCACTGCCACCGCCACCACCACCACCACCATTACTGTTGCTGCCGCTGCTGCTGCCGTTGCCGATCACCACCACCACGGTCATTGTCACCCACCACAATCATCACTGTCTCCTACCACCACTACTACCGTCTACCACCTCTCACCCCCATTACAAATCGATGTTTAAATTCATTTATCTATTCTCGATGTTTGTGATTTGATTTTAGATATGAATACAAATATATTTATTGTATACTATTTTTATTACTCTGTGTCTTCAGGCACAGACATTAACTAATATATTAGTTAGAGATCAACTTATATAAAATAAGTACTATCAAATTCATGACATGTAATTAGGGGTGCAACTCGGGCAGGTTAGACAATCAACTCTAACTCAACCCTACGTATATAATATTCAACCATAACCCTAACCCTAACCCCACCTCGGGTTGGGGAATTCAATCCAAGCACTGTTCGAGTTTAATTCGGGCGGGCTCGGGTTGAATTTGGGTTGATGATTTCGGGTTACTTTACGGATTCAATTCGAGTAGAGCCTAAAATAGACTTGTTGTTCTAAACCTAATACATATATTAGATAATATTCACCTAAATTAACAATCAATAANGGGCTCGGGTTGAATTTGGGTTGATGATTTCGGGTTACTTTACGGGTTCAATTCGAGTAGAGCCCAAAATAGACTTATTGTTCTAAACCTAATACATATATTAGATAATATTCACCTAAATTAACAATCAATAACTTCAACCAAGTTTTTAACGAGAAAGACAAAGAGAACGATAGAATAAAAATGAAAAACCAGTGCTAATGCTTTATATATATATATAGATACATATATAATTTTTTTTTAATTTGTCGGGTTCGGGTAGAACTCGGGTTCACGAGGCTGTAACCTAAGCCCAACCCAAATTGAATTCGGGTTTGAGTTTTTTGACTCAAGCCCAACCCAAGTATTAAAAACCCTTACCCAATCCCTAATTTTTTCGGGTCGGGCTCGGGTTAAAATTGGATTACCCAACCCAAGTTGCACCCCTATATGTAATCTACCCATGATTAAAGTTAAAAAATATATATATTAGAAGCATCTCACTTNCGTAACCTAAGCCCAACCCAAATTGAATTCGGGTTTGAGTTTTTTGACCCAAGCCCAACCCAAGTATTAAAAACCCTTATCCAATCCCTAATTTTTTCGGGTTGGGCTCGGGTTAAAATCGGATTACTCAACCCAAGTTGCACCCCTATATGTAATCTACCCATGATTAAAGTTAAAAAATATATATATTAGAAGCATCTCACTTCAATCTTTATTTACTAACCCTTCTCATCTTAAGTGACATCCAGTATCTCATTTCACTTCCATCCACTCTCACCCTCAAAAACTCACCTCCATCCCATCATATCCACCCCCTTCCCCCAGTTTTTTTTTTTAAATTATACATAAAATAGTTTTTTGTTTGAATTGGGACAAAAATAGTTTTTTTTTTCGAATTGGGATATAAAATGGTTGAATTTTGACAGTGAAAGTTTGACAAACCAACAAATGTGGTTGGGGATTTCAGGCCCAAATTGACCTTAGATTGTCCCTCAAAGTCCAATGTTCTGAGTGGGCTGGGTTAAATTTGGCCAAGCACCTGTTGGGTCCGAGAATAAAATGGAAGTTTTTTCTGGTTCACGATGAAGACCAAACCAAAGATTGGATAGAAGAATATTCCAACCATGCCTAACACTGTCCCAACGCCAAAAGAGGCCAAACCACCATCTCCCCCAATGGAAAAAAAATATTCTTATTATATCTTAAACCCACCACACTCTTTTTTCTCTTTGTGGGTAACGACAAACGACCACCATAAAGATACCAAAACCTCCTCCACTCTCGAGCATGCTCTACCCTGTACCGACCCTCTAAGATCTTCATTATCTGGTGGTATCTGGGATTTTTCCTTCAGTTCAAAAAAAGCTGAAATTAGCTTCCTAGTCCCCCTTTTCCCCACTTAGTTTTCTCTTTTCCCCAAGGTAAGAGCTTATTATATCAGCTGATCAATTGTTGTGTGAAATCTATCCAATTTATATGTTTCTGGGTTGATGTTACTAAAAGGATACAATATTAAATTAGACCCTTTTAGAATTCAGTCTTGTTCTTTCTGTCATATCTTGGAAAATAGGCTATTGGAAACAAAGGGTTAGACATGAATAGCAATTCCACTGGATAACTTACAGTTGCTTCATGCTGCAAAGTGGGTTTCTTTGCCAACAAGGGCATTGTAGTGGGGTGGCTTTCAATTTTCTTGAGGGCTTTTATATAGTATATTTAATATTTCCCAATTTTGTTGTGTTGAGTAGTTCAAGTCTAATATTACTGGTAAGTCTGTAATGTTCTCTGCTCACTCCCAGTTTCTTCATTTGGTATTGGAGAATGCTTTCTAAATTTCGATTTTGCCCATTTCCCTACATTAAGAGGTCAAATATCTTGTGATGGCAGGGCTACTCTTTGTGGAATTGTTGTACTCTGTTCGCAAAAACTCCTAAGGAATAATTTGGTATTGGTGGTTAGAAAGAAATGTCCCAATTTGGACATGTTTCTGCTGTTAGCATGAGTGGGCAAAGTAGTGGAATTAACCTTTGTAGCTCACCATCTACTTGGAGAGATGGTTTTCGTATTGGTTTCAGGCGGACAAATGCATTATCATTTGTTGGTAGTGATTCTATGGGTCAGAGATTGAAAATTTCAGCTTCACATGCTGTTATAACTAGGCCAAGGAGAGATGTGCAGCCTTTGCAGGTCTGCTTTCTGAAAATTCTATATGGTGATTAGGAATTGTTTTTCCCGGGTTATATTATGTTACTTGTTTGTTATACAGGTGGTTTGCATAGACTATCCAAGACCAGAGCTAGAAAATACTGTTAATTTCTTAGAAGCTGCTTACTTATCTTCGTCCTTCCGTGCTTCTCCCCGTCCAGCAAAACCATTAGAGGTCGTAATTGCTGGTGCAGGTGAAAAATCTCTTTAGATGGATTTCCTTCCTCTATAGTTACATACAGAACATTCGGTTTGAATTTGTAAATTCCATCTCTATTTCAATATACAATACCGAACCAAATGATTCTTGATTTTTTTATTGTTTCTGCATTTTTCTCATGCACCTGTTAGTCTTAAGTCTATTTGCAATGGGCCACATATCTTTTTTGATATTCCGTGGTTAAGAACTGCTTGCTAACGTAGTTAAAGTGGTCAAAACTTTTTGTCTATATGTATCCATGGAAACTATGGTTCGGACCAATACTGAAATGAGTCGACCAAGTCGTATCCATCTCGGCACTTTGGATACAATACCGTTACACGATACATATAAACTCTGAGTCTTGCACAGCTCGGCCGAGCTGTATCCGAGTCAATCTCGAGTCGCCAAAATATCGTCACTGAATTGGTTGATACGGTTCCACGACTCCGCGATATGACCTGAATTTTTCGTCATGTTCAACATTTTCTTTTAGTTCGTATCATCCGATACTATGCCAAGACGCCGCAACTGATGTATTTCAGAGCTCTTCGAGTTGATGGCCAATATCGCTATCTTGAACCATGATGGAAACACCCTACCCTGCTTTTTTTTTTTTAATGTTGTGGTCTCTGCTATTACAGGGCCACCTCTTATTTTTATTGAATAAGTTGGCATTTTCTAAAGTTATCTTTGTGTTTCTGCACGTTGCCTGCACAATAAGAAGGCGTTTCCCCGTGAGCTTCCCCAGTCAGCGAGCTTAGGTTAGGGGATTTGAATGCTGGCAGGCCCTTAAACTTCAATGCAGAATCCTATATATGAAAGCATCCTAACAGCAATGCTGCAAGTTGTCCTTGAAGTGGAAATTTTCTTCAAGTTTGAAATGATTTTTGCTATTTCAACGATTTGAATCTACTTTTCACTTCCAATTCTGAATGAATTTTTTGGTCTATTGTATCTTTTTACTTACATTTGCATGCTTATATATATATTTATATAATTGAGATTACACCTTTTTTGGATTGATAGAATGAAAAACGAACTGAAATAATATGTGTGGCTCTAGAGTAATTAATTGGTATGATAACATCTCTGCCTGTGATGCCTTTTTTTAAAAACTCTTNGTCTTAAGTCTATTTGCAATGGGCCACATATCTTTTTTGATATTCCGTGGTTAAGAACTGCTTGCTAATGTAGTTAAAGTGGTCAAAACTTTTTGTCTATATGTATCCATGGAAACTATGGTTCGGACCAATACTGAAATGAGTCGACCAAGTCGTATCCATCTCGGCACTTTGGATACAATACCGTTACACGATACATATAAACTCTGAGTCTTGCACAGCTCGGCCGAGCTGTATCCGAGTCAATCTCGAGTCGCCAAAATATCGTCACTGAATTGGTTGATACGGTTCCACGACTCTGCGATATGACCTGAATTTTTCGTCATGTTCAACATTTTCTTTTAGTTCGTATCATCCGATACTATGCCAAGACGCCGCAACTGATGTATTTCAGAGCTCTTCGAGTTGATGGCCAATATCGCTATCTTGAACCATGATNTTCACCGAATTGGTTGATACGGTTCCACGACTCTGCGATATGACCTGAATTTTTCGTCATGTTCAACATTTTCTTTTAGTTCGTATCATCCGATACTATGCCAAGACGCCGCAACTGATGTATTTCAGAGCTCTTCGAGTTGATGGCCAATATCGCTATCTTGAACCATGATGGAAACACCCTACCCTGCTTTTTTTTTTTTAATGTTGTGGTCTCTGCTATTACAGGGCCACCTCTTATTTTTATTGAATAAGTTGGCATTTTCTAAAGTTATCTTTGTGTTTCTGCACGTTGCCTGCACAATAAGAAGGCGTTTCCCCGTGAGCTTCCCCAGTCAGCGAGCTTAGGTTAGGGGATTTGAATGCTGGCAGGCCCTTAAACTTCAATGCAGAATCCTATATATGAAAGCATCCTAACAGCAATGCTGCAAGTTGTCCTTGAAGTGGAAATTTTCTTCAAGTTTGAAATGATTTTTGCTATTTCAACGATTTGAATCTACTTTTCACTTCCAATTCTGAATGAATTTTTTGGTCTATTGTATCTTTTTACTTACATTTGCATGCTTATATATATATTTATATAATTGAGATTACACCTTTTTTGGATTGATAGAATGAAAAACGAACTGAAATAATATGTGTGGCTCTAGAGTAATTAATTGGTATGATAACATCTCTGCCTGTGATGCCTTGTTTTTAAAACTCTTTTCATGCTTGCAGGTTTGGCTGGTTTATCTACTGCCAAATATTTGGCGGATGCTGGTCACAAACCTATATTGTTGGAAGCGAGGGATGTTCTTGGTGGAAAGGTTATTGACTCGCTCCATTTTTCTCATTTTTAGCAGTTTCTAGTTATAGCTGGTGTCCATCTCGCTCTTTGTATACCTGCTCTTATTTGGTTGAATAGAACCTGCTAAGGTGGTCTGGTGGTTCAATGTGATACTATTCCTCTAATAACATGGTGTCAAGTTAACTCATATGAGCTTGTATGGAGTTATTTATATCAGGGACAGAAACTAGTGTTATCAAAATTATGAGGAGAGTCCATTCCTGGTGCAAGGACTTTTCTCTTGGAGAATGATTGACCTTTTTCTGTAGGATAATTAAAACTTTATGCACAAATTTCACATTTTATCTGTAATTGGCTTACCAGAGAAGATGTACCACATCTGTTGGAGTTGTGTTGGCCTCAACTGACAGATTTATGAATGTAATCTGTACAATGACAGTTCAAACTGAATTCTGAAGTGTATTATGGTAGTTTAAATCAGAGTCAGAGGTGGAGCCCTGTGCAAGAATAAATTATATACTAAATTTGGCCTCCTACTTGAGATTTCCCTGTTATAGTCAACTTTTTATTCTGTTAGTAAAGATTGTTTTGTTTCTACGTAGGTGGCTGCATGGAAGGATGATGATGGAGACTGGTACGAGACAGGCTTACACATATTTTGTAAGTTTTTTGAAGCTACATATTTTGTAAGGTTGGATACTTACTTTTTATTGTTAGCGATTTTTTTCTTCGTAATTTTCAGTATTGTTGTCTATGGAAGATTTTCCATTGGAGGCCTTGTTCAGATGCTTTCATGTTTTAATATTTGGTGCATATATTTGAGACACCATCCTCTTTCACCTTCTTTGTTGCTGTGATTTTTTCATATATAAACGGGTCCACAAAATTAAAAGAATAGCTATGTGGCGTCTTATTTATTCATGTCTTGTGCAAATTTTGTATTTATGAGCAGAATGTGGAACTTATTATTCAAGTAGATGCTATGTTACACATCTGATGATTGATGAAACTGATTGCTTGATTTGCTTGAAGTTGGAGCTTACCCAAATGTGCAGAACCTGTTTGGAGAACTAGGCATTAATGATCGATTGCAGTGGAAGGAGCATTCTATGATATTTGCAATGCCAAACAAGCCTGGAGAGTTTAGTCGATTTGATTTTTCTGAAGTTCTACCTGCACCATTAAATGGTAAGATATGTATTACCATCCTCATAAAACCAACGCATGTGCATGATTTCTGTGACCGCCAAAGTTTGGTCTCACTTTTATCCAGTCCAATTTAAAGCAAATGATAGCTTTCGCAGTTCAAACTTATTGATATGCCACACTCATCATCTCAGTTTCATGTTTCTCTGGAAGGGAATGGACTAGTGGAAGCCAGGCAGCTTTCTACTTATTTCTCCCGTCTGACTATGAGATGACCTGCTTCGCTATTTGCCTTGCATTGTGCTTGATGTAGTGATGGATAATTTGTTGACAAAAGATGTAGTGATGGGATATTTGTATTGAAAAAATAATAATGACTTAGGTTTTAATCAGGTCAAAAATAAGGAAGGACGTTAAGAAGAAACTTCAAGTAGCATGATACTTTATTCCAAGCAGGAGAAAGTTTGTTTGATTGGGATTTTTCCTCCAGTGTTAATGTGTGGTACTTATGTTCAACAAGATGGTTTACAATTTTAATTAATATTATTTAGAAAATAAGACAATGTATCAAGGTTCAGGAGAACAAGGTTCATAATTTCAGCTTGGGGAATCCTCAGTAATTTAGTACCTGTAATCACCCTATGGAAGTTCATTGACATTCGAGACCTTGCTTGATGCAACCATAACACTTTAACAAGATGAGCGTGGTATAGTATATGGAATATGAATTTGACAGTGCTGATTCTGACCTCCTGTTGAATCATTATGGATGATGATTCCATTCCTTGCATGCAGACCCATGTGGTAGCTAACCTCCCCATATATCTGCAACACATTTTCCTAATGTTTTATTTCCTCTGCATGTATGCCTGGTAGGGATATGGGCAATCTTGAAGAACAATGAAATGCTTACTTGGCCGGAGAAAATCAAGTTTGCGATTGGACTCTTGCCCGCCATGATTGGGGGACAGGCTTATGTTGAGGCTCAAGATGGTTTTAGTGTTCAAGATTGGATGAGAAAGCAAGTACGTTGTTATTTTGAACATGCTCTTTGGAAGATTTTTGTTGCATAGATAGATATAATGCTATAAGATAACACAGCTAGCCTGTCTAGTCTCGAGTTTTGGGGATGGCTGGATTATATGGCTGCTTATTGTTCATGCTTTATGAAGTCACATTGTTGTCATTTTTCACAGAAATCCTCTAGTAACTAGTGACTCAAATATTTATCCCTNCTGGGGATGTCTGGATTATGTGGCTGCTTATTGTTCATGCTTTATGAAGTCACATTGTTGTCATTTTTCACAGAAATNTTGGGGATGGCTGGATTATATGGCTGCTTATTGTTCATGCTTTATGAAGTCACATTGTTGTCATTTTTCACAGAAATCCTCTAGTAACTAGTGACTCAAATATTTATCCCTCTCCCTCTCGTTTTTCAGGGCATACCAGATCGAGTAACTGATGAGGTGTTTATTGCCATGTCAAAGGCCCTGAACTTCATAAATCCTGATGAACTTTCAATGCAATGTATTTTGATTGCTTTGAACCGATTCCTTCAGGTGATATTCCCCCCACCTTCTCCCTAAATGCGTTGCTTAAGTTTTCATTCCTGTTAGTACTGGTATCGAGGGCATTGACATGAGCTCTGGAGTGTGTTTGTGATTTTTTCAAGAAGAAAAATGTTTTTCTCAATGTTAAACAACCATTTACTCTAAAAGCTTAAGATGTTAGAGAGGATGTAACTTAAGTATTTATACTTCAACACATCCCCTCACGTGCAGGTTATATTTTGACCCTAGCACGTGTAAATCTTTTAATCGTTGGGGTGGCAGCGAGATTTGAATGCAGGACCTCCTGCTCTGATACCATATTAAACAACCATCTAATCTAAAAACTTCAGTTGTTAGAAAGGGTATAATTTAAGTATTTATACTTCAACACTCAAAAATTTCACCAAATGCATACATCTCTTTACAATATAAAATGAGTATAATAGTAGAATGCTTAGGCTTTCAAGTGTGGGGTCTCGGGTCCAAGTCTGGGAGCAGCCGCTTGGAGCAAATCTTCTTTACAATTCCTTATTCATAGGACAGACAATGCATGGTGGATTTTTGATCTATAAATTTCCTTCGGTTGCTTCTTTTTTTCATTTTCTTTCTTTTTCTCTTGAAATGAGAAAGAAAAATGCTACAATAATAACTATTAGTGGGACATGTATGTTTTCTTTAATGCATACCAAATGTATGCATATCTATCCATATATAGATGNATTTTCTTTCTTTTTCTCTTGAAATGAGAAAGAAAAATGCTACAATAATAACTATTAGTGGGGCATGTATGTTTTCTTTAATGCATACCAAATGTATGCATATCTATCCATATATAGATGGCAATGTAGGAGACCTCAATGGATTCCAAACAAGGTTATCTTAATTTCCTAAATTTTTTATTTGTTTATTCCTAAAAATGCTATGTGGTATCATCCTATTGCCCCCCACTTCATTTCTATTATCTTTTTTTATTAGGCTAAAGATCTAATTTATTCACAATTAACTGTCATCATCCATATAAATTTGCACGCTCACAATTTCTATCCAATTAAATTTTGTATACAANTAATATTATTTGAATGTGTCGTATGTCTTGGTTTTAGATCCATTCAAGTTACAGTGAAACTAATTGTTACCCGTCAACGCTAGGTGCTATACAGTATAGAAGCTACTCGTTTTTAGTTCACTTCTATTAAATTTTTCTCCTGGTCCACTTTCAATGATGTGGGTGCTGTTTGAAGTACATTCTTTCATGAACAATCGCTGATTTAATATATTTAGGAAAAAATCCACAGGAAAAGCATGGTTCAAAGATGGCTTTCTTAGATGGCAACCCTCCGGAAAGACTCTGCATGCCTATAGTTGATCATATTCAGTCCCTAGGTGGTCAAGTTCGACTTAACTCACGAGTACAAAATATCGAGCTGAACAAAGATGGAACTGTGAAGAGCTTATTACTGAATAATGGAAATGTAATTGAGGGAGATGCTTATATATTTGCCACTCCAGGTATATTGATACTTTCCCAATCAAATATACTATTACCCATATTCATAGCCTTGAGCTTCTTCAGTATTGCTGATTCATCTTGATCCCATCAGTTGATATCCTGAAGCTTCTCTTGCCTGAGGACTGGAAAGAGATTCCATACTTCAATAAATTGGAGAAATTAGTTGGAGTTCCAGTCATCAATGTTCACATATGGTTAGTTATGAATTCTTTTCTTGTTGTCCAGATAAATTAATGGAAACTACTCTGTGTGTGTGCATGTATATATGTATATATAGATATACATACCACTGGCCTAAAAATCCTATGATTTGTGAATTGTTAAGAAAAAGATTGGTTGGTTGGAAATTCCAAGGGATCATTGAAGTGATTCAAGTTCTTTTACTAACTCACCTTAGGATATCCTTATCAATCACACTTGTCAGACATCTGCTGATCTAATCTAGTAAAGTCTTCAATATTCTGCTGCTCTGAATTGAAATTAGTCGATGAGGCTTACAACATAAATTCTAGGCACTCCCAATACTAAATAAATGATAATTTATTTCATGTCACAGTATTCAGAAGTTCCTTTTGCTGTTGGAGCAACATATCCTTCGATGTTATAATTTCTGGTAGCTGGCATGTGGTGTCATTGGGTCACTGACTTGAATTAACTTTGATTGCAGGTTTGATAGGAAATTGAAGAACACATATGATCATCTACTTTTCAGCAGGTCTAGTTTATATATATGTGTGTGTGTGTGTGATATGCAAGTTCTATTATTTTCATTCGTTTTTCCATCTTTCAAAGCTGGTTGTAGTGTCAAGAGAAACACATTTCTTTGTTGCCTACTGTCTGTTCTCACGGTTCTATTTCTTCATGCTTATCAACCATTATTTTATGAGTGGTCTTGTTTGATGATGTTTGTATTTTACAAACTTTTACGTATTAATACAAGCTCATATGCTTATCAGCTTCTTACAGTTCCATTTTATGTACACTAACGTTCTTATTAATCTCACCAAAGTTTCCATACCCATCTAATGTTTTATTTCTTATTTTATTTTGTGCAGAAGTCCCCTTCTCAGTGTGTATGCTGACATGTCTGTAACATGTAAGGTAATTACAGTTTATCATAGGATTATAATGGATGATATCTTTTGACTTTAGTTGGGTGCATGGTACTCTTTTTTAATTGTTTTACATGTCCTCTATTTTCCATGCATGGTAGATATTTTTATATAATGCCATATTTTCACTTACCGCATCATATCAATATGATGGACCTGCAACACATTATGAACATTACGATTTAAAACCACAAGCAAATTACAAGTTGTTGACTTAGATTTAGGTTTGCTTTAGTCTTTCGACAAGGAAATGAACTTTGACACGTTGGGGATTTGTCAATTCCATTGATTGGTTCTTGCTTTAGAAAATAAGAGATGTTTGTGTTGTATGCAACCATGTGTGACAAGCATGGGGCATGAAACTAACTTTAAATGAAGAGTTTACATTATATTGCCAAACCTTTTATAGCACAATGGTCAAATGTGACTATGAAATCTTAAAGCGAAGGGTAGGTTTAGGGATTCTTTGTCATCGTATCCAAAACAAGGAAAACAAGAAAAGAAAAAAAGGAGGATGTGGGGAATTGTCTTGTTCCCTTATGGACTGTTTTTCTCTAAACCTTAAAGTTTTAGGGCTAATAATTGTACAACTACAACTTGATATCAAAATTTTTGTTCCGAGGTCTTAGGTTAAAATCTGCACATGTTTATTTTACCATTATCTGTCTCTATGTCTGTTCGTCTCTCCACGTGTAAGATGGAGACACAGGTGAGAGAGGGTGTTGAGGGCTTGAACTTTGTTTTGCTGATTCTTTAATAATGTAAAATTGATGGGGCAATTGGTAGTACATGTTATTTTTCGGCAAATATCTTTACAAATCCTCTCAGCTTCCCTTGGTTAACTATAGCACATCATCAATTTTTCTTTTGAAGATATATCGGTTTTCTGCAGGAATATTATGACCCAAATCAATCTATGTTGGAACTGGTTTTTGCACCAGCGGAAGAATGGATCTCGTGCAGTGACTCCGAAATCATTGATGCTACAATGAAGGAACTTGCAAAACTCTTTCCTGATGAGATTTCCGCAGATCAGAGCAGGGCAAAAATATTAAAGTACCATGTTGTTAAAACACCAAGGTCAGAGCATGAAGTTTAATTACTAGGGGATGTGTTTTCTCTTCCTTGTAGTCCTTTTCATGTGAATGGCTGCCCTCATGTTAGAATAGTAATGCTTTAAATCACAGGTTTTAAATTTTGACACTTAACTTTAAGCTCTTTGCAGACATAAATATTCGTATTTTTATCCACGTCTGAGTGTACCTGTTCTACTGCACTATAACTCAGCTTAAGCTTGCAGCACCCTACACCACTACACTAGTTATCTCCCTTATGTGTTGGGTTATTAAAGTTTCTGGTAACTTTAATCCATGACAGAGAATTGCATTGCAGTTGGTTTGTTATTCCTACAGAAGCCTGACTGGGTCTTCCTTTTCAGGTCTGTTTATAAAACTGTACCAGACTGTGAACCTTGCCGTCCCTTACAAAGATCTCCTATAGAAGGATTTTATTTAGCTGGTGATTACACAAAACAAAAGTATTTGGCTTCAATGGAAGGCGCTGTTCTATCAGGAAAGCTTTGTGCACAAGCTATTGTACAGGTAACAGCTCAGTGGACCCATGTCCACTTGAAATTTCTTTAGTATGTTAGGGTTGCAGCACAAGCCTGGGCTCAGCTCTCCAACTTTTACACTTGAATGGTTGTTATGATAAAATAGAGATTTGATGCCTTTGTGTCCACTATCCATTCTTCATGTGTTACACTTTGCAGGATTATGAGTTGCTTGTTAACCGGGGTCAGAGAAAGCTTGCTGAGACAAGCCTCGTCTAACCATATCAATAGAGAAATGAGACAAAACTTTTGCAAGTACACAACGAAAGACGAATGAAGGCTTGTTGATAGAAGGTGTCCAACAATGTTGTCTCAGAGAGAACAAAAGGTGGAAAAAAATAAAAAGAATCAAGAAAAGGGTAATCCCCCAGAGTGGCAAGCTCTTTAAAAGTAATTTTTTATACATGTAGAAACATTTCCAACAACTGTACCTCCTACGAGCCCCCTTGAAGGAGGTTCTTCTCAGTGGGGTATTCATTCTTGCTCTATTTTTTATTAAAGTATTGTTGTTTTATTTGTTATCTTGTTCCATAGTCATCTTTGCTAAGCTAAACATATATATATATATATATA